AGCCAATGCACAGTGGCATGCAATTACTGCATCCAGCTGCCGCTGATCACAGCGTGAGTATAATAAGGCAGCAGGTGCAATGCATACCAGCTTTTCGCTTCGGAGCCAAGCGACAACATCGTTCTGCTCAACTGTGTCTGTTCGAGAACTACGAGTTCAGCACGCTCTCGGAAGCTTCTTGTGTTGGCGAGACGGCGCTTCAGCGGTGGTCGTTCCAGTGTCGAGTGGGTTGCGCACTTCAGGCTGCTCTACCCCTGCCGTGTTGCAAGCGGTAATCTCCCCTGTGCGCCTCAGCACTAAAAGAGCATTTCCTAAAAGAGCAAATTTCTCTAAAAGAGCTACACGGGTGCGTCTTTATAAAGCGCTACTCGCAAGGGGGCTCAATTCCCCTGTGTCTCAGGCCGGCCTCTTTGGCGACGCAGTCGAGAGCTTTGCCCAGCAGTTCTCGGCTGCCCAGAAGCAGACTGAGGCAATATGACACATCCTGCCCCGGCGGGCAGCTTCTGCCTCCACCTGTCCGCTGGCTGCAGCGCCCCAGCCCGCTCGTTGCCGAGGGCGGGCCCCCGCTCCCGCGCCACATCCGCAGCAGCCTTCAGCAAAAAGCGGCGTTGTGGAGCCAGACGTGGGCGGGCCACCCTGCCTGTCCAGGCCCCCGTCCAACCTGGCGGCAAGCAGAGAAGCAAGCGGCCCTGAGACAGGTGACCCAGATATGGAAGGATCTGCTCGTCGGGAGATGTTGAACACACCACTCCCTCCCCCGGAGGAGGGCCGGGCGGAGAATCTTTTGTTTCCTTTTTTCCCGCCGTTGGCCTCACGGCCGACGGTACCCAAATTCTTGACAAAAGAGCAGTTTCCTTTATCTCTGGGTCCCAGGAGGGCACGGAGAGTTGCGGACGGACTAACGCCGGACCTCACTCATCCTCCTCCTTCGCCAGCCGGCAGCAGCGGGCAGTTCGAGAGCGTCAACAAAAGACCTACTCACGCACCCTCTGCCAACCCGTGGAACCAGGTGAGCCTTGCACCCCACACTCACACTCCTCTCCGGCCCGCTCACAAGCTGCCCGAGGTGGGTCCCTGTGTTCCACTTCGCTGCCCCACTGCGGGTATGGCTGTGGTCCCGCTGGTCCCGCTTGTACGGTTTCTGGGCACTTGGTCAGCACTAACCAGCCCGTCTCGCTGGCTTCTGTGGACCATCAGCCTCGGTTATGCGATTCAGCTCGCCCGGCGCCCGCCCAAGTTCAGCGGTATCCGCTTCACTACAGTGAGGGCGACCGATGCCCCTGTTCTGCGGGCAGAGATCGCAGTCCTACTGGCGAAGGATGCGATAGAGCCGGTCCCTCCAGCCGATATGAGGTCAGGGTTTTACAGCCCTTACTTCATTGTACCCAAGAAAGGCGGTGGGTTACAGACAATCTTGGATCTGCGAGTTTTGAACCGGGCCCTTCATCGGCTACCGTTCAAGATGTTGATGCAGAAACTCATCTTCGGGTGCGTCCATCCCAGAGATTGATTTGCAGCGATCGACCTGAAGGACGCGTACTTTCATGTGTCGATCCTTCCGCGCCACAGACCATTTCTGCAGTTTGCGTTCGAAGGACGGGCATATCAGTACAAGGTCCTGCCCTTCGGGCTGTCTCTGTCTCCCCATGTCTTTACGAAAGTCGTGGAGGCAGCTCTTGTTCCCCTCAGAGAGCAGGGTGTTCGCGTAACTATCTAGACGATTGGCTTATACTAGCACAGTCTCAGGATCAGTTGTGCGAGCACAGGGACCTGGCGCTTCAGCACCTCAGCCTGTTGGGCCTTCGGGTCAACTGGGAAAAGAGCAAACTCTCCCCGACGCAGAGGATCTCTTTTCTCGATATGGAGTTGGATTCGGTCGAACAGACAGCGTGCCTCATAGAGTTCAAGGGCAGGACAGCGGTTCCACTGATACTTTTTCAGAGGCTCCTGGGGCATATGGCGGCTGCAGCGGCACTTACACCACTCGGCCTGTTACATATGAGACCGCTCCAGCACTGGCTTTATGGTCGAGTCCTGAGGTGGATGTGGAAGCACGGCACTCACCGGGTCCAAGTTACATCGGCCTGTCGCCAAACCTTCACCCCGTGGTCAGATCTTGCATTCCTCCAGGCAGGGGTGCCCCTAGAGCAGATCTCCAGGCATACTGGGGTCTACACGGATGCCTCCACCACCGGGTGGGGTGCCACGTACAATGGGCATGCAGTCTCAGGGGTTTGGACGGGTCCGCAGCTGCATTGGCACATCAATTGCCTAGGGTTGTTGGCAGTGCGCCTTGCCTTGAACCGTCTCAAAGGGCGCTTATGAGGCAAGCACGTACTGGTCCGAACGGAAAACACAGCGACCGTTGCGTACATCAACCAACAAGGTGGTCTGCGCTCCCGTCGCAAGTCGGAAGAGGTCACTTTGTGCTGTTCACATTCCGGGCCTGCTCAACCGTACAGCCGACGAGCTGTCTCGAGCAATGCTCCCGGGAGAATGGCGACTCCATCCCCAGACGGTCCAGCTGATTTGGAGACGTTTCGGAGCCGCTCAGGTAGACCTGTTTGCTTCTCCAGAAACCTCTCACTGCCAGTTGTTCTACTTCCTGACCGAGGGAACACTTGGCACAGACGCACTGGCAAACAGCTGTCCGCAGGGCCTACGCAAGTATGCGTTTCCCACAGTGAGCCTTCTCGCACAGACACTGTGCAAAATCTGGTAGGACGAGGAGCAAGTCTTGCTAGTGGCGCCGTATTGGCCCAGTCGGACCTGGTTCCCCGAGCTAGTGCTCCTCGCGACAGCCCCTCCTTGGCCGATTCCTCTGAGGAAGGATCTACTGACTCAGAGACGGGGCACCGTTTGTCAACCCACGTCCAGACCTTTGGAAACTCCATGTCTGGTCCCTGGACGGGACGCGGAGGTTCTAGGTGACCTACCCCAGGAGGTAGTGAACACCATCACTTCGGCAAGAGCACCGTCTATGAGACACGCTTACGCCTTGAAGTGGAACCTGTTCATCGAGTGGTGTTCTTCTCGCTGAGAAGACCCCCGGAGATGCCCGATTCCGGTCGTGCTTCCCTTTCTGCAGCAAGGGCTGGAGCGAGGGCTGTCTCCCTCCCCCCTCAAAGTCCATGTTGCTGCTATTGCTGCGTACCATGACCCGGTGAATGGGAAGTCCGTAGGTAAGCATGACCTCATCATCAGGTTCCTTAGAGGGGCCAGGAGGTTGAATCCTTCCCGGCCCCCCTTTATACCCTTTTGGGACCTGTCTCTAGTGCTAAAATCACTACAGCAGGGCCCATTCGAGCCTTTGCATTCAGTTGAGCTAAAGTTTATTTCATTGAAAACTCTGCTCCTGCTTGCACTGGCCTCCATCAAGAGGGTAGGGGACCAGCACACATTTTCGGTAGACGATTCGTGCCTAGAGTTTGGGCCGGCTGACTCCCAGGTAATCCTGAGGCCCCGGCCCGGCTACGTGCCCAAGGTTCCCACTACACCCTTCAAAGACCAAGTGGTGAACCTGCAAGCGCTGCCCCCGGAGGAGGCAGACCCAGCCCTCGCTTTGCTCTGTTCCGTCCGAACATTAAGGTGCTACGTAGACCGGACACAAAGCTTCAGGACCTCAGACCAGCTCTTTGTCTGTTATGGGGGCCGGCAGAAGGGGAAGTCCGTCTCTAAGCAGAGGATGGCCCACTGGATAGTGGATGCCATCACCCTGGCTTATCAGGCACAGGGTGTGCCCTGCCCATTCAGGCTGCGAGCTCACCATCCTTCTAGAAGTGCATTTATGTTAAAATTGTAACTTAAATTATCAAGTTTAGTTATTCTTATTTCTTTATTGCAAAACGCTAAAACTGGCACCGTTTTGGAGAGAAATGGGCTCTCATTTTAACCCATATCATGGTGTGTGATGCTGAACTATGAGTTTCTAATGGTGTTTGTATTTGCACTGTTCTAAATATTAATATTTTATGTGCAACAACAGCATGCTGTCTCAGTGGCCTTGCACATGATTTTAAATCTATTTTTTCAAACTTTATGATTTAAATGTGGATGAGAATAGCTTTAATATTTTCTTCAACTGAATACTGTTTCCGTGCTGTTTTAATGTATTTTAAAGAGATGGCAGTCAAAAGTAAAACTGCTGGATGATAGATATTCTTCATTCTTTATGACAAACAAGATAATGTGAATTACAGAATGTACAATGTTTTTAAAATGTGTAAATTGCGGTGTACAGCGTTTATTATGAGGGAGTAGAATCCACAGCTCAGTACTCACTACTCAATACTCATGAGTACTTTTAAATAGGCTACTCTTTTACTCTTACTGAAGTAGTTTTTTGGACAAGTACTTTTACTCTACTCACACTACATTTTTTGGAAGGTAATGGTACTTTTACTTGAGTATATTTTTTCTGTACTCTTTCCACCACTGCTGAAACCTGACCACACACCAAATCTGCAAAACCATACACTAATTCTCTGCCTCAATTTATAAAACATTTTCAAAACACAACAAACAATTCTCTATGTAACACACAACAAATCTAACAGGAATTAATATTATGGCAAAGGTGTTTGGAAATATTAGCTTTTGAGATGTGTTTGTGATATTTTGAATGCAGTGCTTCATTTTGCAAGAGATGTGAGGAATTTAGCATTTTGTGTGTGCAATTCTTGGATTTGTGTGTAAGCAGTTGAAAAAACCCACAATGAGACCAGTTGCTTAAAAGCAAATGCATAATTGACTACAAAAGTGAAGCTAGTTCTGGTAAAGCAAAATTTGCGTGCAGATGCCATGTTTGATATAATTTTTCTTATCTGTGTATGAAATTCATAAATGTTTAAGCATGACTTAAGTGTACAAATACTTTTTGGGACCTCTGTATCTTATAAAGGCATTAACATCCCGACAGGCTTTTTATGATGTCATTTACACAGTGTGCATGTGTGCGTTCGTGCGTGCATGCACGATTATGCACATCTTATAGGACCCACCTCTTTTAGGCAGCCCATGAAATTATTGCTGACGGGAGATCCAGGCAGGTCGGCAGTGCTTGGGCTTCCCCCCACATAGAAGAAATCATCTGAGCCCAGCATAGTGTAATCCTCCTGAGTGTATCCTGTGGTGGTCAATATACCATCCACTGATATAGTCACCTGTTAAATTATAACAATATAGAAACACAACAAATTAGTAACTCGTTTAAAAACGCGCTTTTAACCTGAGCGATAACCTTATTTTATTGTTTATTATGGTCCATGTTGTTCAGATTTGCCCGTATTTCGGGTCGCTTACTGCTAACACTCTGGACCATTGGTCTGGATAAGATTTATTGGTGATAGTTTAGTACAGGTTCACGGGACAGGTAAAGAAAATATTGCTGATGAATATTTTCTTCATCTTTGATGGGTTAAGAAAATGAATTCTTATCTGGTTTGGAATATTACTAATTGGGGTTAGTAAATGTTAAAACCAAGGACAAATTATTTGTACTTGTTTTAGTTTTGGGGGATACGCTACTTTGTCACACGCTCACTCATACACATAAACAGAAGTTCAGACACATACTTGAACATGCATGCATTAAAGGAAGGCATTAACCACTGTCAAAAAATCTAATTATCCTTTTTTCAAAAGGTCATACTGAATAAACATGAGAAGGATCAATGATTCATTGGTTCAATGAAAAGGGGAGGAGCAAAGCCACAACATCCAATCAGCAAGCACCCATGCAGAATAAAAAAAAAAAAAAGAATCAGGAAGGCCATGCAACAAGACACACGGCACAGAAATCACATGCGGTAGACACACACAAGGGATTTGGGTGGAAGCGGAGTGATAAATTGAATGTAGTGTTAGTCACAGTGATATATGAGGCTGAATGAGATGGTGGAGATGTGGACATGCTATGAGTGGTGTGGAGGTATCAACTGCCAGAGTTCCCAGAGTTCTTAGGTTTCTCTTGTGTGTTTGTTTATTTTCGGGAGGCTCTGCAAGGTGGAAATTTCCCCTGTGGACATTCTTGGAAATCCTCTGTCAGTTATTGCCGACAGTCCTCGCAAAAAATGTGGAGGCTTGGTGTGGGGAGAAAAAACACTTTACTAGTTACTGTGAGAGTCCCAGTGAGGATGTGAATCTCTACGTAACGTTAACGTGAGGACGTAAAAGCCAGCCTGATAAACAAAAAACCAGTAAGAAACAAAACTGTAAAAGAAGGGAAGGAAGTTTGAGAGGGGGGTAAAGGGGGGAAATGTGAAAAGTCCTGGTAATACAAACCCATTTCCTCATTTTTTGAAAAGAGTGTCTAGAATGAAACTCAAAGAAAAAGAAAGAAAGGGAGAGGGACACACGGCAAACCAAAAAAGGACAATAAGAATGATATCTACCAGACAATGTAGTTTGTTTACCATAGCGTGTCCAATGCCTGAGTGCTTTCAGGAAGAAGGGGGAAGAAAGGAAATCAAAACAATAGTGAACAAAACGGTTGTTAATAAATGGACGAAATTAAAAGAGAAAGAAATTAATGATGAAGATTCAGGGTGTTAGTACATTAGTTTGGTTAGAAACAGGTTAGTAATAAAAATGATCTCATGAATGAATAGTGTTAGTCCCAAAAACTGTTTCTTCCCAAGATGTAAGAAACAAGAAAGGAAAGACAGATTAAATAGGAAGAGTACAGTATGTACAATGAGAGCATTTTACTGTGGGGACATGTGGCCAATGGTTGGATCACGCCGGTTGACTATTTGACTTGTCGTCCAACAACAGACTAATTAATGATTGTTAAAGATTGTTGACTAGTTTTTGATTTTAAGGGTATGTGTTTTACTTAGGATGCTGATGGTGTGTCCTATTTGTGTCCTTAGCCTGCTATACGTTTTATATGATAAAAGCCTCTCAGACAAGTTTTTAAATTCATCATCTTAAAAGCACCACTCTACACCTTTAGTCTTGTATGCAATTGCATCATGTAGTTTGTGATCATTACACCATGATTGTCAAGTTAAAAATGCGTCTCGAAACTAGCTAGTCAATTTTGAAAATTGTGTTTTATTGCTGCTTGCTATTCATTCCAGTAAAATTGTAACATAAATAAATCGGAACAACATCAGTAGCTGACGTAGAGATATCAAAACAGGTATCAAGATATCAGCTTATCAAATTAGATTTGTAGCAAGTTTAAGTTCTCAAAGTGATGAGGAAGAATGACTGCTCCTTCAAAAACACAGCAACTCGGTATGCTTTTGAAATTGTTTAAAAGACATTTCTAATCATAATGTTATTGTTTCTATTTCATTTTCTACTTATGAAAATACTTTTGTGAAATAGGTAGGTACATTAGTCATTTTTAATTAATTCAATCAATTCATTTTTTTTAGTAGTCATAGGAAAGAATATGCAAATTCCGCCATATAGCACTTAAAATAAATAAAATAAAAAGCATTTAAAGAGCCTTAAAATTATTTATTTTTGAATAAGGTAATAATACCCGCAAATAAAAGTACTTGGTAATAGTAATTATAATGTTTTACATTATAATTACTATTACTACTTTTATTTGCTGGCATCAATGTATGTATTTATTTATTTTATTATCAGTAACAGATCATTTTACATTATTTGTGTATAATCTAAATTATATTCATGAGCTAAGGCTCCACTATTTTATTATGTCACAACCAGAATATCTGTGCTCCCAACTCAACTATCCCCACCATTTTTTTAAAACAGCTATGCCCATGAATTAGAGAAAGAGAGAGAGCAAGAGAAAGAGAAATAGATCTCCTTCAGTCTGTCAGCTCATATGCTAGCCTGAAAACATCCCATGAGGTTTGTGCTATATCTTTTACCAGTCTGAACAAAGTAGTGACATGAAAAAAGCACTTACTTGATAAGCCCTCATCATATTTTCACTCCATATAAATCTCTCTCACCTGCCAGTAAAGTTTAAGGTCAGCCAATCAAATCAAGCATGATCTCACTGAAGACTCAAACCCAATCCTCGAACATACAAACTCTCTTACTGATGGAAATTTATCAAAGGCTCCATGTAAGAGAACACTTGGGGCCTCATTTATAAAACCCACATACTATCCAATATCATCCTACATTCTATGGATTTTATTCCACTTTAAAAGTGACAAATCGAGATTTAGATTTCAGTTCAAAAGGGAAAACTTATCTAACAATGTTAAGCTATTAAAAATGTTAAATGTTAACAATAATTTTAAGATCATTATAAGCACATTTAAAGGTGCAGTAGGAGATCTTGGAAAATGCTAACTTTAGCCTGATAGCACTGAAAGCGAATGTCCCACCCTCCCTGCAATCGCCGTCCAAAGGCATGCCCCCTGAACGCATTTACGCTCACAGACCATGAATACCAGAGACAACATTACAATAGGCTACATCAGCGGTTCCCAATTCCAGTCTTCGCACCCTCGCATCCAGACCATAGACTGTGTAAAAACAGATCCAGACGCTGCGCAGCGCAAATCTGTGAATTAAAAGTTAAGTAAACTTCAACAGATTTCTCCTGCTCAGGGAGTAGGGAGCAATGAACACTGTGTAGGGATCATATCGATCAGAACACAGTTCATGCACGTAGCTCACTTCTAACGAGCTGGTTATCTGAATCGGGTGTGTTAACTAAGCGAAACATGCAAAATATGCAGAGCGCGGGGGCGCGAGGACTAGAATTGGGAACTGCTAGGCTACATGTTTCATTCACCGGTGAGAAAACTTTATAGTACAGTTAGTAAAAGTACTACAGTACCAGGAAGGAAGATCGGGTTGTTGATGTTTGTCTGCCATTCTCGCTCTGTCTGCACAGTATGTGTGAACACGCTGATGACGTATTCTGTCTGCGCGAACCGGGTGTGCAAAGGTATGCGAATACTTATGTTGACAGACAGGTAGGAAAGCCAATTAAAACGCTCGGGCCGAGCATCTTGATTGGACGAACATTTCCACAGAATATATAAATACAGATAAATACATGTAGACCACTTAACTTTATGATTGCTATCGGGATGTGAAGAGACTTTCAACCAGCATAACAAAATTTTTTTCTGAAGACATTCACCTATTGCACCTTTAATACCCTAATTACTATGTTTTCATTAGTCATTAAGTTAACATGCAATTTGCAGTAAAAAATGCTACTGCTACACAGTAAAGCATGTTTGCTCAAACTTTGAACAAGGAGAATGATTTTTGGGTAATATTTTAAGAAATAATGTTTTTAAAAAATGGCAGGCTAAAACAACTAGTACTAAAAGCTCTTCCTTGAAAGTTTTATGACAATGTGATTTCAAATTGTATTACTGATTAGGTTAAGTTGAAAAAGTTAGGCTGTAACCGTTGTTTTTATTAGATTTTTATGCTTTTTATCGTCTTTCTGAATTTAATTTCCCTTTTAGGTCTGCATAATATTAATATTATTTGCAATAACAAAGCAAATGGATTTAGGAACAAGTTTTCATGCATGCAGATGTTTTGTAAAGAGTTTATAGAAACATTTAGGACATTATTGTATGTATACATTTAAAATTATTAGGTGAATCTTTATAAATGAGGGTGCTGGTCTCTTCAGTTAAGAACTGTATTTAAGAGTCTCTGCAAAGCTATTTGTTTTAAACAAACTGCTGGCTTAGTCAGACCTCCACGTACCTTGCTTAAATATAAACATTAAAAGGAAATAACTGTCGACCATGGTCTAAAAGGTGATTGCTAAGATAAAACTTTGAAAGTTCGCTGACACTTGTAGAGCATCGGAGCATAGACTGAAAGGATTTGAAGTCAAGCTTTGAGTTTTCTGATGCCCTTGAGTGTTAAACCATGTCAAGTAAAAGAAATAAAAGACTTTAAGGTTAGAAAACACAGGAGGAAATAAGAACCCTACTGAAAAAAACAAAACCATCACAGACATTTCTAATGGTTTCCACTACAAATACCATTAAAACATTACAAACCATCAACTTTTAACCATTAAAAAATGGTTTTCTGTACTGTGTTTTGGGACATATTCCATTAGGATTTATTGGTTTTAACAAGCCACCAATAGAAGGTGACCAATTACCAGTAGAGACACACAGGGTCCATTACAGTTTCCATTAAAACCAATACAAGTCTCATTATAACCAGTAAAACCATTACACATTTTGTGGTGGTATCTATTGTTTTTTTCAGCAGGGAACATACTCTTTCATTATTAGGAAACTAGTTAACAAATTTCAATGCAACTAAATTCAGTCTTAATTAAATAGTGACAGTTCCAAAAAACAAAATCTGATTATAAATCAGCTGCAACATAATTATATTTGAATTAGAACATGAACTAGTTCTCCAGCTAGCTGTGAGTAGTCTTAAGAGCAGCCGTCGTCTAGTGATTACCTGTCTCAGGTTGCGTGTCACTTTGATGTCATGCCAGGCGTTGTCATTGAACTTTCCATTGACAGGCTCAACGATAGCCTCGAAGGCTCCTGAGCCCAGGTTGATGACCAACGAAACGGCACCGTCTTTCAGCGCTAGGTTAACGTAGTCAGCCGACTTGCCCGTGTGGAGGATGAGACCGTTGCGTTGCCAAGTTTTGAAGGACAGAGTGATCTCATCACTGCTACTCTGGATAGGATTCTGAGACAAGTCATAGCAGAAGTACTCCGAACCCCGGAATGTTGCCACGTTGTCCTCGCGTGCTGAAAACAATCAAGAAAAAAAATGACAATGTTAATTTGTTTTCAATAAGTGAACTTGAAAATTGGTCAAATTAACGTTGAAGTTGTTCTTTGAACAATGAACATTAAAAACGATCATTCTGTCCTAGACAAGGAAAAAGTTCTGTCAGTGTTAAAACCAAGATTTCCCTGAAGTGACTTTCTGAGGTAGATGCAGACAGAGTGGGATTGTGGGAGCTTTGTCAGAGCGGTGAAGCAGCATACCATGAATTCACATTGGCACTCCCTCGCAAAGACCCTTCAATTTCACCTCAAATTCTGTCTGAATAAGGAATCAGAGAGTGTTGTGTTTGATGTAACCATTTAAAAAATAACCTTTCTGGACGTTTTCTTTATATTTTTTCTGGAAATGTCCTGCTGATGAGGCCTCAAGTGCTTTTCATGATTTGATCCCCAGTGCCTCTTGGCAGAGGAAGCTTATTTCCGTATCCAACATTTGAAGTGTGACATTGCTATTTGCAAATTACCCTGCAGTAAAGGAAGAACAATGGCGAATGTCTTTATAAATCTGCGAGGGCTTGTTTCTTTCATGCTAACTGTTCTCTTCCCCTAGAATTTTGGCTTGCCAAAGGATGTATCAGAACTCACTGTCAGCTCCCCTCTGAGCAAATTACAGGGACAGAAAGGAAAGGGAGGAGAGAGAACAAGTGAAAACAGGATAGGAAGAAAGCAGAGAAGTAAGATGGGGTTGTGGGAGTGACAGAGAGAGAGAAAGAGAGAGAGAAAGGAAAAAAAATGAAATGGAAAGCTTAAGATAAAACTGAGATGAAGAGGAGAGGGTAAGAGAAGCTTGTTGTGAAGGATGTGTATATTAAGCTACGATGAAACAATGAAAGCCTGAGTAAGCAAATCAAGCTCATGGAACAATTATAAAACAGATTTTAAATTTGGATTGGATGTCGCCACGAATTCACTTTTGCTCTATGTTGTGCCTAGATCTAATCAAGGTGCATATGTTTACTAGAAACTTCTAGACAGGTGTGTTGAGACAAGCTGGAGTCAGAGCTTCATAGCTTCTCAGAAACTTTAATTCACAATTGTTTTACCATTATATTTAATAAATTGTTGAATATACGAATACACAAATCCTTATCTACCTCATTATTGCTATATGTACACTTTGGCTGACACAATCAATATTAGATTATCATTAAAGGTGAAACACAGGCTCCAGCATTCCGATGACCCTATATAGGGTAAGCAGTTTGAAGAATGGATGGATGGGTGGATTATAGGTGAAACTACCTAAAATACTTTCTCCTAGTCCAGTTTAATATGCAGAGAAGCGTAATCCTGGCATTAGTATGTGGATTTCAAAACATTCCCTGTGTTTGAATGTCTACCTTCCTTCTACATAGTACATCCAGATTGCATTTACTGTATACTACGCATTCATAGAAAATACTTTATACAGTATAACATTTTAGGCACAACTTTTGCTTGATTTGGTTGAGCATCCTGGCTGGTCCAACAAGCAGCATTGGCTCAACCGATCTGTTTGTCCAATCAGTGGAATACAGGAGGTGATTATTATTGCATTTCATTCTGAAGGGCTCATCCCTATATCATAATCCTTTTGAAGGGTTTACCCTCCAGAGTGAGAGCTTCGAAGTGATGAAGGGTGCAGGGGCCCAAAAACTATCCCTTGGAATGCACTTCTTTGTCACCTTGCCAACCAATTAAGGAAGTGCCTTTGCCATGCAATTCAGCCTGTGCAAAGAATCATTGCACAATTTTTTCTTTAAAATCCTTCATTCCGAAGGGCAATTTGATGAGGCTTTAGTTTGGAATGACCCTTTAGTATAGCATGACTGTTCTCGCTACGAAGTGCCCTTCAGAGTTGGATTTATACCATTTGTTTCACAGCATTAATCAGCAATTCCGTCTAGTACCATAGTGTTGCACATTTCGCCTTCTACAAAATCATTTTCAAACTGGGCAGCTTTAGTATTCACAAGATTATTAATTCACTTGTTTCACAAGGCCAACACAACCAACCACACAAGCTTATGATTAGGGCTGAAACGATTCCTTTTCCTACAAAAAAATCATAGATGCAAATTATTTGCCTCGAGGCTTCGTTTAGTCCATTTACTGTAACTACACACGGAACACTGTGTTTCCCCACGGACCATTATTACTGACGCACAACCCGATAAACACTGGACATAAGCCCTGCGTTCTATTCGGAAGGGCACATCCCTATGCCCTAATCCCTTCAAAGGGTTTACCCTCCGGAGTGAGAGCTTCGAAGGGTTGAAGGGTGTAGGGGACCAAACAACTGTTTCTTGAAGTGCCCTTCTGCGTCATCATCACGTGCCCACACAGAGGCGCCGTCATCATGCAAAGAATCTGCGCAAAGGATCATGGGAGCCCAAAGAGTCCATCAGTTGTCCCCTTCGAAATCCTTCATTCTGACGGGCCCCTTTGAAGTGGCCAGTTTTAAGCACTTCGGTTTGGAACGACTCTTCAATATGGGGGCCATGATTGTTTTCACTCCGAAGTGCCCTTCGGAGGGCGATATATCCTGTTTGGAACGCACCGAAGACCGTAAATCAATATGGTGGCTAGTTTTGAGGTCCCTAAGTTTGATATGTTTTGTGAAAGACTAAGCACCATTTATGTTGATCGTCTCATTCTCTCTCTGTGACACACACACACACACACACACCCCCCATACAGTTATGCATAAAAATACCACAGAAAGAAAGTTTGTCAATATCACACGAAGAGTGCCAGTTTTCACCTCTAAAAATAAGCATGATTACAAATGTGTTACTGATTTTATGCAACAGTTCAATAAACAAGTTTAAGAATAAGATATTTACGTTTTAGACACCTTATTGCATGTAGTGCTCTATTTCGCCAACAAAAAATAATTCCAAACAAAGCCACAGCGCTGTTTTGTGTCTTTGAGCAACATGACGGTGTTTCGTTCCTGAATGAATCAACCGTTCAAATGATTTGGTTCAGTCGAAATGACTCACTTTTTAACAGTGACTTGCTGCCACCTATTGACAGTTTTAATTTCACATTTAAAGTATCTTTTCATTTTTAAAATAATTGTAAATATCAGAATTCAGTGTTTCATGTTTAAAATAACAAAATATTATGTATGCATTTGTATGGGTTTAGTTTTAATGGTAATTAATGTATGCAAATTAGTTGTTTATTTTAAGAGACCTATCTTATTTTCTCTTGTGTATCTAGTATTGCTCTTTAATAAAGAAAAATTACTTCTTATCTGATTACTCGATTAATCGATGGAATAATCTGTAGAATACTCGATTACTAAAATAATCGATAGCTACAGCCTTACTTACGATATTAAATAGACATGCTTATTTGCATAACAGGTTTTGATTAACAGTTAACTAGCCTACAGTGGTCTACATAATGAGTCACTTGACAAAAAATTGATGATTGTTAAAAATGTGTTTTGTTTTTTTGAGCTTCAGCAACACAGCCAAACACACAGAACAGACATGAGGGATGTTTCCTCTAAGGTAATAAAGTACATTACAAATCGGCCTAACCATATATGGATTTCCAATATCTTTGAAACATGGTGTTATTACTTTGACTAAATTTTTACTGCATTAAGGAGATGCAAGGTTGTGCAGAATAAATATTAAAAGCAATAACTTATTGATTCAGAGGTACTGAGGGAAATTAATTCTCTCATATTTGCTTAGTCAAAGCTGCAAAAATAAATAATCTGAATATTCTCATAAGGGCCACACTTGATGTTAGATTTCCCCATAGCTTTGATGGGTCAACACACGTATCAGTAACTTGCTGTTTTTCCATAGCAGTCTCTCTTAACGTCTGATCTCATGTGATCTCACAGGGTCTCCAGGCGGGACAGAGTCTCTCCAGCAATCCTGTATCACAGTTACATCTCAACTCAGCCTTATCAGGGTCATCTACAGAGGGCCTGATCCGATGTCACTTACTCAGAGAGCTCTTACACAAGTTATTTCCACTGACACGTCTGCGTGCAGAGGTGGTCAATTGCCTTAAGACTGCATGGGAATCGTGACTTACCTAAAATAAATAAATAAATAATTTTAGGCAATATATATAATGTGCTGAAATAGAAATTGCAATGCACTCAGTTAGTTTTTTTTTATGAACAAAATGTTATTTGAAATAACAGATTGTGTTCTATAACACTTTATTTATTTATTTATTTTTGCAATAAATCCTGTTAAATATTGTAAAATCAAAGCAATATTTTACAGTACACAGGAGCAAGGCAAATATTAGCTTTATTACCTGTTTAAATTAATGAATGCAATCGGGTTCTTGATAGAGTAAATCAATGTTGAATTTCCTCACCAGGCAGATCAACACATCCCTGCAGTATTTGAAATAGAATAATGATCTGCTAAAGTGGAAGAGAAAGAAACAGTGCTTGCTTTGCATTCTGTTCATTTTACATTGATTGTCACTCGCAGGGGAAGCGAGTTTTTCTCCACTGCTCCGTTTGCAGCTCAGTGTACCGAGCTTTGATTTCAAAATCCAATGCAGGCAATTAGCTACCTCATTTACATGTCCCTGATCTCAGCACTGACATTTGGCTTGGCAGCACTAAAGCCGTTCCCTGCTACCACCAGAGAGAGCTCTTTCACCCTGAAAAACCCTGAACAAGGAGGTCAAATTAATGGCTTGTGTTTCTGATTCTGAACTAATGAAAGTTTGAATCTGACTTGCAACATTTCCCAACATTTTCCCAAAAAGTGTAACGGTGAACATTTTTAATAACCTTGTTTCCAAACCAGAGGTGGACAAAAAATGAAGTACATTTACTTGATTACTGTACTTAAGTACACTTTTGAAGCATCTGTACTTTACTTGAGTATAATTTTTTTCTGGAAACTTATGACTTTAACTTCACTACATTTGAAAGACAAATATCGTACCTTTCACTCCACTGCATTTCTGTCAAGGCCCTCAAA